CTCTCCAACTCCCTGAAAGGAGGGTGTAGCCAGGGGGGGTCGGTCTCTGCTCCCAAGTCACAGGCCATGGGACAAGAGGAAACGGCCTCAAGTTGCACCAGGGGAGGTTCAGATTGGAGACTGGGAACAATTTTTCCATGGAAAGGGTTCTTAATCCTTGGAATGGGCTGCCCCATCCCTGGTGGGGATGGTTGAGGCCCCATCCCTGGAGGGATTTCAAAGCCGGGTTGCCATAGTGCTTAGAGCCATGGGTTAGTGATGGTTTTTATCAGAGTGAGGTTGATGGTTGGACTGGATGATCTGGAAGGTCCCTTCCAACCCAGACAATTCCATGATTCTATGACTTCATGAGCCAGGTGCAGCTTTTTTGCAACATTATCAACATGTTTCCATTGAGACCTATTATGTAGAGTGATATTACCTCTTTTTTCCCCCTGGACTTTAGGGAGAACTAGGCTTTCGTCTGCATTTTTACTTGAAACTTTTAAAAACATATTGTAGAACATGCACATGAATCTTTTTTACCCTTTTTGTTCATCCCATCCCACAAAGCTGATAACACATTCTTCTGTGAGAATGTGACAATAAGAACAGAAGAACTCTGTAACTTTGCAAACATAGTAATGGGCATTGAATTGAACGTGACTGTTTGATTCTCAAATCTACATCCTGATGCATTGAATCCTTTATACACACTCCTTTTAATTTGCTTTATTCCCCACTACTTTTATTGAGTAACAAAGAGCTGCTGAAGGACTAAATGGTCATCTGGTAATTTGGCGCTTATGTAGATCTTTACGTATTACTGTGTAAAAGTTGATTCTCACAGTAAAAGTATGTTCTTGTCTCCTTTCTCTGGCTGAAAAGGTTGGGAAGGGGGAATTTTAAATATTGTTGGCATGTTGTCAATGGGCAGAGGAGTGGGAATTGCATGGGAATGCCCAGGTCAGTCAGACCCAGTGCTGACTCCTCCAGTGTTGACGGAAGATGCTGTTGAATGAGACCACTCTCTGTGGTCCATCCCCCTCCTGCAGCATCTGCTGCTCTTGCACTGGGGATGTCCAGAGGACATCTCTGCTGACTTCTCTATGGCCCTGCTGCCCATGAGTTTGTTTAATCCTTTTTCCACTTGCTGATGTTGTTTCCACAGTGTCCTGGGGCAACAAGCTCCAGAAGTTCGCTGCCTGCTGGGAGAAGAAGCATTTCATTTGATCTGCTTCAAATATTATGCTATACTAGTTCCATCAAGTGTCGCTGGTCCTGACTGGTATTGTGGGATTTGATTAACAGGTTATGCTGGAAGTTCAGTAGGTGCTGTTCACACTGAGATGTAACTGTGGATGAAAATAATAGAAATTAAGCAATAGATTGGAGTAATTATTTGCATCTACACTCTGACGTGCACACACCTTTGGAATAGTGGCTTAGGGAGCTTGCTTTCTTCTCAAAAAGTTCTAGGGTTTTTAGATTTAATATTTCATGTCGTGGATTTGGATGGTCTGCTCTTTCCCATGTGTCAAGGTGAGAGGAAGCCTGTTGTAAGCTCAGCTTTCAAAAAGCTGGCTTGTTCCAAGGGCTGTGCACACCTCGCTTGGTGTGACAAGCTCCAGGTTTGGTTCATGGTTCAGTTCGTGAAGCCACAGGCTTTCTTCTTGCTTTCAGCAAATGTTTTTTGTGGCTGAGCTTTTCATCTCCAAAGCAGAATTAGTAGTAGCTTTCTTTGAGTCAGAGATCCACATGACATTTACAGTATGGAGCAGAGAAGTTGTGCTGAAATTTTAGTAATTTTAGGAATTAAATTGCAAATGAAAGAAATCCTAGATTTACAATAAATGGGTTAAATTACACAAATGTAAATACTGAGCAAAGAACCTTATCAACTCTTCATGGTTGTTCACCCTCAGAATCTGGTTGAATTAAACTAACGTGATGCTTATAAAGGGAAGCTTGCGTGGTGTTATCTGAACGTCAGTGCAAAGCAGATGGGGTCAGCTTTCTGTCCACCCATCAGGCTGCTACATCTGAGCCACAATTTATGATAGTTTATGCCATTCTGATCTTTCTCCCGAGGAGGAAGTTCTGTGTATACCAGAGTGAGGGGTTTATAACGTCGGTAAATATTTGCAAGAGGCTAAGTTGAGTCCATCAGACTTGTGTTTGCTTGGGGCCTCATCCCAGTTTGAATCTGAACCTCCTCTGTTGAAAGATGCACTCTGTTCATTGCCCGGCGCTTTGAAAAGGATTTGTGTGTTTGAATTTTTTGGTTTCTCCTTCTGGATCCAGAGTCAGAAGTCTCTAGCTGGCTGCTGGTGGCAGCAGGTAGCCATGGTGTGGCTTGTAAGGAGATGTGCTGGAGCCAGGCTGTTCTGCACTCCTGTCTGCTTAGAGAGCTCACTGTGAAACAAAATGTGAACTGCTAAAGCGATGGAGAAGACGAGGCTTCTGTCCTCCTTTTTGTTTCAGTTTCATGGTGAACTTTAAAGGGGGTCTGTAAAGAGGTAAAGTGGAAAGGACTGGGGTTCCCTGAATTTCCCAAGAGGGTCTGTGCTGTGCTGGACCAGTGAGGATCCACCTAGGCCAGTATCCTGATTTCCCCTGGTGGGCAGTAAGGAGTGTTTATGGATCATTATGAATTATGGATCATTATGAATTTAGGTGAATAATGTTACAAATTGGTTGTGAGCACTCAGTTCCCATCAGTTGGTGCTTTCCTTCCTCCAGAGCTGGAGACTCTGAGGAACCCTGGGTTTGTGGACGTGGCTCCTATTGCTCAAAGTCCCCCCCTTTTAACCCCTCTGCATTCTTGTCTCTGACGTCCCTTGCAGTATGTTCCTGGGCTGGTTTGTGTGTTGCTGCTGGCTACATCTGGGGCAGAGTCAGGCCCGTGGCAGAGGGGAGAAAGGGGGAGATGATTAGTTGGTGCTGCAGGAATGTGGCTCTGATGAAGTGGCTTTGGGGCAGGGGGAGAGGTTTAGGAGCCCTCAGCGTGCCAGGGTTGCCCACAGGTTTTGTAACCCGTGGCAGGGTTTTGGGGTTGAATTAGTTTCAAATCGAACTGATAGAAATCTGTAGCAAACCCTGAAAGAAGCATCTTCAGAGATTGGCAGTGAATATTGCAGGGAGAGAACTGACAGGCAGTTCACCACAAATCTTCGGGCGTCCTCCCCTTAAGGCAATCTAAAAAATATCATGAATGTTGGTGTGTTTTACTTAGTGCTCTTGGAAATGTCTTTGTGGCAAGTTTAATTTCGTTCTCTTTCAACGTGCTCCTTGGGTTTTCCCCACACAACTATTTGAGGGAGCAACATCTTCTCGGAGGTCCACTTACTTCTCCTGCAACACAGCAAGTCTCTGCTTGCTTTGGGGCTGCCACTTTTGCTTGGGAGCAGTTTTCTGTAAATGGGGACAGGCACTGGGTTTTTAATCCAATGCTGGAGTTGTTAGGTCCTGCTGTACTCCTCCTCCTACTAGAAAATGTGAGCTTAATCAAGTAGTAATTAAAAAGGTATTGAAAACGGAGGGTAGGGGTGGAGAGGAGTCTCCATTAGAAGCTCCTGAGTTCTTCAGGCATCTTAGTTAAATAGCCAAATCAACCAAAGTGTAATTTTAAGCACACTTCGTAAGTCCCGTTCATATGCTGCCTTTGAAAAAGGGAAAGACTATGAATAATGTGTTCTGCAAAGACGCCAGAGCCTGCAGCCTCAGCTGAGGGTCCCCTGGGCAGGACAGTATGAGTTAAAGAAAAAAAAGACATTCTACTTTAAAAGAAAAAGCTTTCTGAAGTCTGGAAGATTTAATACAAATGAGAAGTGGTCTGCATTTGCTGCCTTTTGATTACAGCCTTCATACCATTTATATTTACCTGATAAAGACAGGGGATGTTTATTAACATTTGGCATCTGCTGTGATAACTAGCATGTGGAAATCACCTCGCTTTAGTTGTTCAGTTTTTAATCATAGAATCACAGAATGATCAGAGTTAGAAGGGACCTTAAAGATCATCCAGTTCCACCCCCCTGCCCTGGGCAGGGACACCTCCCACCAGACCAGGTTGCTCCAAGCCCCATCCAGCCTGGCCTTGAACCCCTCCAGGGATGGGGCAGCCACAGCTTCTCTGGGCAACCTGGGCCAGGCTCTCACCACCCTCACAAGAAAGAATTTCTTTCTGGTATCTAATCTAAGTCTCCCCTCTTTCAGTTTAAAACCATTACCCCTCATCCTATGACTCCCCTCCCTGACCAAGAGTCCCTCCCCATCTCTCCTGTAGCCCCTTCAGGTACTGGAAGGCCATTAGAAGGTCTCCCTGGAGCCTTCTCTTCTCCAGGCTGAACACCCCCAGCTCCCTCAGCCTGTCTTCACAGCAGAGGGGCTCCAGCCCTCGGAGCATCTTCATGGCCATGTGCTGGACTCGTTCCAAGAGGTCCATGTCCTTCCTGTGCTGAGGACTCCAGAGCTGGACACAGCACTCCAGGTGGGGTCTCACCAGAGCAGAGCAGAGGGGTAGAATCCCCTCCCTGGCCCTGCTGGCCACGCTGATCCTGATGCAGCCCAGGATGGGGTTGGCTTTCTGGGCTGCCAGTGCCCACTGCCTGCTCATGTTGAGCTTCTCATCCACGAGGACTCCCAAGTCCTTCTCCTCAGGGCTGCTCTCCAGCCATTCTCCACCCAATCTGTAGCTGTGCCTGTATTTTGTGAAAGACCAAACAACTGAGATCAGTTTTTCTTTGCCTTTTTCAAAGGAAAAAGAGGAGAAAAACCTTTTTTTTGCTGTTGTTGTTTTGTTTGTATTTCAGAACTATAAAATTCTATGTATCTTCTCAGAGGACATGCCTGCCCTCAACACAGGAGTTTGCTGTTAACTGGTTTACTTTGATTGGAAACATTTACACCTTAGGAAAAAGGAGATGTAGTAGAGTTGTTGGGGGTTCCTGTGCCAAAAATGTGGTGCCTGGAAGAAAATCGTGTTCTTCTATTCATAACCATTTTTAATCTTTCCGCAGACCTACAACAGCTGTGCCAGACTGTGCTTAAACCAGGAAACAGTATGTCTAGGAAGCACCGCGATGAAGACTGAAAATTGTGTGGCCAAAGTAAGTAAGAGAACAGCTTTGGTTTTGAGGTTGTTTTTTTTAGCAGACTGTTCATTGTTAATCAAAGAAAAGCTCTTGTTAAAAATTACAGTTAAAAAAAAAATTAATAAATATGTAAACTGAAAGCAAGTGTTTTGAGCAGGCTTTTCTGTCCTTTGGAGTAGAGTTTTCAGATTGGTTGTTTTTCTCAGTTGGAAAGGATTGCTTGAGTCCCGAGCTCTCTAGGATTGAAGGGTTTGTTCTGCCATACAAGTAATAGGCTTTTCCAGTGGGATGACCTGTGCCTGCCGTGTAATTAGCTGTGGCAACTTCAAATGATAGATGTCCAGATATATGCTAAAAATACTGCACGAGAGCTCTTTCTATCATGGTTCCCTTTCGTAGCTACCGGAGGGAAGGTGCAAAAAGAAAGACGTTTCAATTAAAATACAGTGAAGGATGTATTTGAGGGAAAGGGAGGAGGGAAATATGACAATCAGGATGGTAAGAAAATGGATATATTACTCTCAGAAAAGTCCTTCCCTTAGAATTGTAGTAGATGTGACTGGAAAAGATGAGGTGCCGTTACCCACCCTCTTTTCTTAAGATTCGGTGTAACTAGAGTAAAATAGCATAAATGTTGGGTTGTGTGTGAATGGAAAATGTTGGAGCTGTGATGCAATATGTAGAGAAGGGCAGTGAGAAGGATGTGGTTAAGCCTTGTGCGAGCTTCCCATTTCCACCGAGAGGAAGTTCCGAACGGGCATGCAGGAGAGAGCAGGGCAGGCAGCCATCTGTTAGCAAAACCAGCTGGCATTTTGTTGCTCCTCTGTCACCACAAACCTGACCACTCAAAAGCCTATTTTCTCTTTCAGTTATTTATATTTATCTTCTTGATGTCTTTTTTTTTTTTTTTTTTTTTTTTTTTTTTTTGTCTTTTGAATGGTTGTTAAAGGTGCCTTGTCCCTTCAGGGCCCGTTTTTGTATTGACCTTTAAAGATAATTTTCCCAGCTAAATCTTTGCTGGGGTTTTGCTGGTGAAATTTGGATGTCCCATTACTTTTGCTTCCTGGCAGGGAATTGGCCATCATAAAAGTTTGTCGTGGCGCTCGTGGGTGGCTTGGTGCTCGTCAACTCTGCTTGACGTGGCAGGTTACCTTCCGGTGGAGAAATACTTCTGAGGGGGCACAAAGCACTAATATTAAATACTGACACCTCTGTTCTTAGCTTAAAGTGACACACTGCTTCTGAAGGCACTTTATGATACAAAGGAGGTGAAACTCTCTGAGCAAAGCACCAGAACAGTTCGTGTTGGTGTCCAGCATCATTCTGATGCCACAAAGCAGCTCACAGCAAGCACCGGGGTAAACCCATTCGACCCCGTCTCCTTTATAGCATCTTGTTTGACTTGGTCACCTTACTAAGGAGCAAGGATGTGCAGGAACTCTAGCTATTTTATTTGATGCCTCTTTTAATTGAAATGCCATTACCTTTAACATCCTAATGCCCCGAATCATAAACTCTCCTAGAGCTGTGTTTCAGTGGGATCATGGTAAGAGGTGTGGGTAGGGCTCAAGGCAGGAACAGCAAGGCTTGTTTCATGTTATTGAGGATGAATTTTAACCACCACCCTGGAGATGAAAAAGCATATATTTTTAAGCATCGAGTCTCTATATGCTGTAGGACAATATATATGTGTATATGCTATAGGACAGTGTCATCACACATACATAGAATCATAGAATCATAGAATCATTGAGGTTGGAAGAGACCCTTGGGATCATCGAGTCCAACCATCTCCCCTACTCTACAAAGTCCTCCCCTACACCATATCCCTCAGTACCGCATCTAAACGTCCCTTAAACACATATATGAAAACACATGCATATACAGAATCACAGAATCACAGAAGGATATGGGGTTGGAAGGGACCTCTGGAGATCATCTAGTTCAGCCCCCTGCCAAAGCAGGTCCCACCCAGAGCAGGTCCCACAGGAACATGTCCAGGTGGGGTTTGAATGTCTCCAGAGAAGGAGACTCCACCACCTCTCTGGGCAGCCTCTGCCAGGGCTCTGCCACCCTCACAGGAAAGAAGTTCCTCCTCATGTTGAGGTGGAACTTCTTATATTCAGGTTTGTGCCCATGTCCTCTTGTCCTGTCCCTGGGTACCAGCAGAAAAAGATTGGTCCCATCCTCCTGACACCCACCCTTGAAGTATTTATAGGTGTTGATCAGATCCCCCCTCAGTCTTCTCTTCTCCAAACTCAAAAGCCCCAAGTCCCTCAGCCTTTCCTCATCAGAGAGATGCTCCAGGCCCCTCATCATCTTTGTAGCCCTCTGCTTTACCCTGTACCATGTATACATGCATATATATGCACACATACATATATATTTTTATATATTCTTTTACATATGTGTATGTGAAAAAAACTAAGGATTTTTCTGGGGACATAATTCCTGTAGCACTAGCTTGTGTGCCTGTCATACTCTGTTCCTTTGCCTTCCCAGCTACCATCCAAAATGCAATAGGTTCTAAGAAAGCTTGTCTTTCAAATTCCTGAAGTGCTGAAGCATTTATAAATCCAGTTAGCTCCATGCAGATGGCTCAGTGATGGCATAGGCAAATGGCACAACTGTTAAATGTTCCCTAGGTGAAGGGCTTAAATGGGATTTGAGGAGTTCAGAGGCCTTCTCCCGGCCCTGCCCACATGGCGAGGTTTATCCCCCGTGATTGATGTGTCTCACAGCCTCGGACTTGAAAGTGTTGTGTCAAGAGGGTGAAGACTGGAAAGTCTAACTGTGGGTTTCTTTATCTGCAGCGCTTTTGGAAAAAGGGGGTTTCAATTTATTTTTTTTTAATCTGGCGTTGAAAGACAAAGAAAGGGTCTCTTTGAAAATCATGATTTACTTTCTCTGCCTCTGCAGCGCGGCGTCAGCCCCGGCTGGGGGCTGCACTCAGCCTTGGCACAAACTCCTCGGTGGTGCCATCAGTCTGCAAGGGATGAGGTTTTTTCCAAAACCAGACTTTCTCATTCTGCACCTACTCGCAAAAAAAGCTCAGTTAAGACTCTATTAATGCCATTTGCTGATTTTGTGCTTAATGTTTCTAACGTTTGTTCAAAGAATGACGTGCGGTTTCCCTTGAGGCCACACATATCAAAACTGAGAAGTCTTTTTTCAGGCTGAAGCTCTGTCCATCCATCAAGCTCTCTTGTGAAGGAAAACTTCAGTACGGGACAGTCAGGTGTAATTTACCAACCTAACAACTGGCAGCCTTTCTAAAATGGATGGAAAAGAGGTTTATAATAAACATACATGCATTTTCAAGTATGGAGAGTAGCCTAGGGCTTTTTTGACCGCTCACAGAAGTCTGTGTTTATTAGGAAACCTTATCTGTCTGGTCTTGTATCCAGTGTTATGCAGACTGTGCAGCCAGGTGCTCAGTGGCTTTTGCAAATCTATGGATTATCTAGTTTTATTCAGACATTTCAAAACAAAACTATAATGTTGCATTCTGATGAATCTTTGTGTTTCGTTCCAAGCCACGCTTTTCTGGTATTTCCTCTGAAACTCCATTGATAGGACTTGGGTATATTTGGGTAGAAGCAAATAAGGAACAGTAGAAATTGGTTCAAGCATTCTCATGTTTTGACCAAAGAGGTGGGATCTGGAAGTAAAATGTTATATTGTGATGCACAGATGTCACCTGTGTGATCTGTAACATCGGTTCTCTTCCATCCTCAGGAGTTTTTCCATTAATCTTTTGACATCTTTTTGCCAATTGCATTTGAGTCATCAACAGGTCTGATGTATGTTTAAATGTCTTTAAAAATGCTGTCTTTAAAAAGGAAATGCAGTTCCTAATTGTGTTCTTATTATGTGTACACACATATGCGCACACACACACACACATATATATATATAATCCTCCAGTTCTTCTCTGTAGAAACCAAAAAATGTGTGAGAGAGGATTTCTTTTTCTGATACTACTGATGTGCAGCCACGTGTGGGCAGCTTTCTCTGGAATTGGTGCTAGGTGCTTAAATAAGGTAGAAATGTAGGATGAACCTGAGCTCCAAGGACAGGGTGTTTGGTTTTAATGAGGCTTATTGAAAGCTGGCCAAATGAGCATCTGTTCCTATTGTTTGTTCCATATTTTGTAAGCCAGTATCTTCAGGCCAGATAATGGTGTTGGTGTGTGCTTCATCCTCAATTAGAGAGGGGCACAGTTAAAAATCCCCTGGCATCTGGTATGTCACTAGGATTCTTGTGATGCTCCTGGGTGTGCAAACAAGTTTTTCTTCTGTTCTGCATCCGGGACCATTTGCCTTCTGTGGTGACCTTCACACTTTCTACTTGCTGTGTGGCGGGGGATGCTCTGATGTGTCTCCAGTTACCTGCACTGAGTCTTTGCTTGGATGGATTATAGATAATCCTGTTTTCAAACAGACATCTTACCTTTTCACCCTTTCGTAACGTGGGCTGCATTATGTTCGGGTTTTGCTGTTCACTTGGAGTCTGTTAGATTTTGTACTTCCCTGGATCATGGAAATTCTCTTCTTATTAAAAGTGCCTTTTTCTTTCCCAGCAAGAGACTGGTGTGCAGCTCATCTCACAGAGTTCTACAGTTCTACCTATTTCCTGTGTTCATTAGGCAGGTCCTTACTGGGTATTAACTCCTGCAGTCAGTTCAGTTTGTCTGTATCTGCTGTATAAAGAGGCGCTCTCAGTTTCATTTTGCAGAGTGAATTCTTTCCTACGTGTGCCAGAGATGGGCACCCAAACCTGCCAGAGACAGCACAAAGACACCTCCTAAATGGTGCAGCATCCCCTGGTTTCTACTTAGTTTTGAGCTCAGCAGCAGCTGGGGGAGGTTCTCTGCCTCTGCCTTTCCCTGAGATCAGTGAAACGGGAGGAAGGAAAATAGAGTCAAGCACACCAGCCTTGGAAAATCCAGAGTTCTGTACTCCCTGCCACACACATGTGATAACTGGTCCTGCTTTTTATGGTCCTGGCAAACC